TAACAATTATTGTCTTTGATTAATCTGCCTGTTCTTTTCTTTATTAATCGATTCATCATTCTGTCTGAAAAATGTCAGAAAATTTCCCACAGCCGTAATTAATCTAATCCCTTTACTATCATCAGCTAAAACCAAGAAATCTTTAGCATTTTTGCATGAAAAATGATTAGAATAGCAGCTGATTCATTTTTTGTGAATTGTAAACCATGCACAGCTTGGTAATAATGTACTTGATTATTATCATGCCGTTAAAGCAAATTAGAGTTTAAAAGGAAAAGAGTTATGAGAAGAAAGAGGAAAGCAAACGAGTTAGAAAGAACGACTGAGGAGGGGGGGGGGCATAATGTGACATTACTGGGCGGCTCTGGCAGCCAGCCCTCTCTGCTGGCTACACACACACACGTACACACAGGAAACAGAGTATAAACAGTGGTGTGTGTGTGTGTGTGTGTGTCTGTGTCTCAGGGACATACAGTTATTTATGTGTATGAAAAGGCAGATGCAGTGGGAGGGGATGTAAGCAGGCGTGTGCTCGAGTGTATTCACACCTATGTAGACGCACTATGATGGACAACACACACACACACACACACACACACTACCGAAGGCATAGAAAGTGTGTGGCCTTGGCATTTCCTGGCTTTGAGAGCTGACTCTGCCCGCGCTTCTACTTTTAAACCATTTATGTTTGATTTAGTTTCCTCCTGACGAACACAGGCGGCCAGTCTGTCTGAGAAACCGCAGAGAGAAGGGGCACAAAATGGCTGCTTTGGGATAAAACTTCTCTCCTGGGCTCTTCTTGTGTTTCCTTACACTCTAGGGACATATATATATATTTTGTTGCTTCTATTGTTGGAGGACATTATCCTTCTTTTATTACCATAGAAAACCTAAGGTTGTCATTGAAGTATTTTATAACCAGTTTCAAAACAGTTACTACGAATGTCTTAATATCACATAGAAGGACATGCAGGTTAATGTGAATAGCGCCTTTCAAACACAGACACCATTCAAAGGGGAAAGAATTACTTTAGAAAAACATGTAAAACATAATGAAGATGAAAAATAAAATAAAAGTAAATAACACACTGGCACTAAACGTACTAGAGGAAAAAAGTGAATCAGAGAAAATTAATTAAAGGCAAAATAAAAGTTTTTAAGTAGATTGAAGTTTCTGCTCATTGAAGAGGTTTCTTCCATCTGTGTGCAGCTTAGTAGCTAAATTACAGTTTTAACATTTTGGTTCTGACTCCGGGCACTTTTATCCGACTGCTCGGCCGGGCCGCTGACTGATTTATAAACTAGCTGCAGCACTTTAAAATCTTCTAAAATGATCACAAAGCCATTGTAAAGATTTAAGAGTAGGGATGATGTGCCCAGTTCTCCTGGTTCTTGTTAGAAATCTGGCAGCCGCAGTCTCAATGTGCTGCAGGTGTTAAATGGTCTTTTTGAGAGGAGTAATGCGTAGACCTTTTCAATAGTCCATAAATGATGATACATATGTTATAGTGGTGGTAGAGCTCCAGATTTTTTATATTTATGGTGTAAAACTACAACTATATGCTTACGATATTGAGGATTCAGTTACTCACAGTTACCATACTGTTGCTCATATTGCAATTACAATATCTGCCAAAAATAATCGCAATATGATTTTTTTTTTTTTTTTTTTAATCATATTTTGCATATCAGACCTAGCTAAGATAAAGTGAAATAAAATAAAAAGTACAGTTAATAGATATGCATGTTTTCCAGTTTTACATCGAAAAGCACCCTCAGCTTGGTCGGGCACCCTACTAAGTCATTAAAGTAACCCCCTCCTGTGGCAGATACACAGCTTTCTGTTCTTCCTGCAGATCACTTCAGGTTCTGAGGTATTTTTAAGCTGTTTAAGATCTACTCACAGATTTTCAGTCATGTTCAGGTCGGGACACTGTGAGGGGGGCCGTCCCAAAAGCTCCAGCTTGTGTTTCTTGAAGTAGTTCATGGTGGATTTTGAGGTCTGCTTTGGATCATTGTCCTGTTATTGAAGCCTCTTCTCAGTTTCTCTTTCTTGGCTGACTGCAGGACATTTGCATCCTGAATGTGCTGATATTTAGTTCCCTTTGTGTGTGCGCAATGTTTACTGTGCCACACTGCCTGCACATACCCCAGTTACTCTTTTACTATTTTCTATTTTTTGGGTTCATGAAATAAAAGGTAACAGTGCATTGATAATGAATGAATGCACGAAGAAAGGCTCATTTTTAATGTATGTTTGCTGCAGGAGTTGTATTAAATTCCTTTCACTTCAAAAATAAAGAAATGCCCTGGGGTGCTTAAACTTTTGAATACAGATATAAAGCAAGGATTTAACTCTGTCAGGGTTGGTGGTTCAGTCCCCCCCCCCCCCCCCCTCCAATGACTGTCTGAATAACGTCATAGACTTAATGTCACCTATGAAAGCCAGACAACTGTGATTTGTGGCTGCTGCTACTGCGTGCGGCCAGCAGGGGCGGCTGAGCGTTGGGGCTGAGCGTTGGGGCTGAACGTCGGCTCTGTCGGCGCGGCCCGGCCAGAGGTCTGAGTTGAAATGTCTTTGCAGTGAGGTCATATGCCATTCGAGGGGATTTCCTCATCTAGGTGTGGGTCTCTCCGTCGGAGAGGGAAGGACAGATCCTCTGTTGTGTTTATGTTCCACTTTGGTGTCCTGTTTGTTTACGTGTTTACTGGTGTAAAGAAAACAGGAAATGAATATAGCGTGATGGCTTTGTCTCATCACTTAAAGGAATTTTAATTTGCAGGCAGGGTCACATTATAGGACCCTGTTTTCACTTTAACACCAAAGAGAGGAATTTCAGTAAAAGCTATAATGAGCTGGGGTTCTCCCATTAAATCTATATTACACAAAAACCATTAAATCCGTCCTTATGGGAAGAGATGTAGATAAACATATGAAACATTTGCGGACTAATAATGGACAAACTTAATATAGTACAGAAATCATATGTGCTATCCACAGTAAACTGCCATATAGAGACACTGACAGCTCGTCCTAATGCAACAGCTATGGGAGAGGAACTGTATAACAGTAGGTAACTCTCTGCTGTTTCACTGCGGCCTGAGTCTTGTAATATTCTGTAGCAGTGGTGCAGCTGACACACACTTTGTTATAACTTAAGTCTATGAAGCTGTCAGTTTGGCTCCCCCCCCCCTTTTTTTTATTAACTTGATATAGAGCCCAACATTTCAAACTATAAATCAGAGCCACAGTTGGTTACTGTGTCTTGCTCCAGCCTGAGAACGTGTTCAAGCGTCTCAGTGTAGGTGGGTGTTGAATTTATTTTCTCATTCTTTAAAATCTCCTGCTTTAAATTAGCACAAGAACCAACAGGAATGACTGACGGTGTTTAATAAAAGGCGATAAACTGGAGGGGAATGCGCTGCGTGTCTCCTCTTTTGCGTTTTTGCTGCGGCATTTTTCACATAGGTGACCTACATACCACTGGGCTTTTACAGTGACCCACCTGTTGGAGAGCAAGTCTCCAGGCATGGGATCAGCTCCAGATGCCCCCCCCCGCCCCACCCCACCCCCACCCACCCTACCTCAATGGTTTGGAGACAAGCCACAGAGAAAATAAAATACAGTTTTACATGAAGAAGATGGAAAATGCAGTCAACCTGATGCATAAATCCTCCAGAGAAAATATGGAAGCTGCTTGGCCACAGAGTCCATTTTTAATACAGTTGAAAATGAAACACAATCTCAAGCTTTTCCTGTGGTATTTTAGTGGTTTTAGTATCTTACGCAAACAAAATCAGGTCAAAGTTAAAGTGATTTGTAGAGGCATTTTTGATACGATAGCGGTAAGTGCTTAGCTCACTGTCAAACACTTAACATTTCCTGTGAATACTTCAGTTGGCTGCCAAACAGGAATCTTTTTAACACAGCATGCTTTCAAATTCTCTGGATCCTTTTCACAATATCCACACGTTAATTCTTCTACATTTTTATTCTACGTTTGGGTTTCTGACATCGTAGCATAGCAAGTTCTGAGTCTCTGTTGACTCTTAAATCATTGAAATGAGCAGGGGGAGGAAGAAAGAATCCATCCAGAAATGTAGAATATTACAGTATTCTTTGGAAAATGGTGGGTAACGATAGTGAGTTTATGCTGTTAGGGTTAAATGAACTAAAACAGAAACTCCAGTATACTATAGGGAGATCTTACCCAGTCATTTCTAGTGAAGCTTGTCAGAGGTAGACACAGGACCACACCCTGCTGCTGCACTACAACTAATGAATCACTCACATGAAATAATTGCACCCATTACAAATGATCATGTGGCTTTATAGTAAGAGCCTTGGCTCAGAGTTTTCTTTGGATGCAGACTCAGGAACTGTTCACTCATCATATTTCCCAACCGCAACCACTGCAGTTCCTCAAGTTGACATTATTTCAGGTGTGTTTTTAATATTGAAATCAGACATGTCACGACAAAATAAACGGTGATTAAAAAACAAAACAATATTACACTTTCCCATTGCCTTTCACGTAACTTATTCCCATGTCTAATAGTCATTTGACCTTGTTTCGGTGGTGTGGTTTTTTTTGTGTGTTGTTGTGACAGGCACAGGAAGTCACTGGTATGTGACCCCAAGTGGAGAGGATGCAGGTGCTTGAGCACCTACTGAGCCGCTGTGTTTTTTAAAGTTTGTGTGTTTTTTTTTATGCTGGGTTTATGGACACCAAAGCGGATTAACCTCTGCCTGTTTTTTTTGTGTGTATTTTTGTGTGATTAGTTGCACATATTGCAGCAATGTTGTCTGTTTTTAAATAAGACTTTTAATATATTTTCACATTTTTGGCACCGACCAACTTGTGTCACTTGTCAGCTTGTACGGCTACTCGGGTTTTGACGACATTAAATGTGTCAAAAAGCTGGAAAAGCGGAGATTATTAAAAAAAAAACGTGTCAAAAAGTTTCTCAACATTTTTGTTTGTGTGTGTGCTTCACAGGAGATGGCGGTGCGGGCGCTGAAGCAGACAGGAAGCAGGAACATCGAAGCGGCCTTAGAGTACATCAGCAAAATGGGTTACCTTGACCCCCGCAATGAACTCATTGTCCGTGTCATCAAGCAGACTTCACCAGGTACAAATACAACCTCAACAAGTTAGTTTTGACCAGTGGATTTTAAATGCTCTACATTTCTCTGAACGACATACATTTACTGTTTGCGCTTATTGATCTACTTTTTTAACCAACAGCAGACAGCTAGGATTAAATTGCTGTTCGTGGTTAATATATTGAGCGGTATTCCTGTTCCTAATAGGAAAAGCTGGCATGCCAAATGGAATGGACCACCGGCCTGCGTTGGAGGCTTCAGGTGAGGCAGGTGCCATGCCTCCATACCATCAGATGGGAGCTCCGATGTATGAGGGGGCGGGATACGGCCCTGAGGGTGAGATGCCCAGGCCCTACATGAGTGCTCCCCCTGTTATGAACTACATGATGCCCCCATCTGGTGCAGCACAAGGCCCTGCCATGGGAAACCCAATGGGTCGACCTCCCAGTATGGGCACCTATCCACCAGTGATGGCCACCCAGAGCAACCCAGCCAACACCATGTACCCTCCAGGGGCCCAGCAGAAAGGCTACCCCGGGAGCATGGAGCAGCACGGGCCCATTATGAGCTACAACGTCCCCGGCCAGCCTCTGCAACTCCAGCCACAGCCACCAGGGGGCCCTGTCCCAGGTCCCCACTATGACTACGGTCATGCCAGGCCGCACATGATGGAGCCTGCAGGCTATGGTGTTAAGAGGACCCCCTCCTTCCAGAACAAGATGGCACCGCCCCCCATGGCGCCGCCAGACAACTACGTCAACATGCAGGGGAAAGGGGCCATGGGTCAGAACGGGCCAGGAGGAGGCGGGGGAGGGTATCCTGCCAACCTGTACCTGCCCCCTCACTCCCACCCTCGACAGGCCAGCCCCACGTCCCACCAGGTCCACATGATGTCCCGTTCCCCAGGTGGGGTGGCAGCCATGGGCCCCGACTTCTCAGATCTGCCACAGGGCTTGATGACACCATCCAGGGCCAGCCTCAACCTGGACCTGTATGAGCACCACTGGGCGGGGCCTCCAGGCCCTGAAGGGGCCCCTCCAGCCAGGCAGCCCCAGCCCCAGGGCCCATTCAGGGGGGAGGTGCGTGTCCCAAGCAGAACCAACTCCTTCAACAGTCGATCCGCGGGGCCCAACGGTGTCCGGCCTGCGATGGCTGCACCTCCTACAGCTGGAAAACAGGACCCCTCATTGGGCCCACCCAACACCATCACAGCTGTCACATCCCCGCCCATTCAACAGCCGGTCAAGAGTATCCGTGTGATGAGGCCAGAGCCCAAGACAGCTGTGGGACCGTGTCACCCCGGCTGGATGACTGCTCAGGCCCAGGATGCAGCAGAGCCTCTGGCCTACATGCCAGAGGAGACTTACCCCCTTGAGCCTGCTCAGGAGCCACGCTGCCCGCCACCACCTTACCCCAAAAATCTGCTCATGTCCGGGGCAGCTGGCGAACCAGGGGCCCTGGAAGGACCCGGAGCCATGTGTGGAGCTCAGGACCTCAGCAACCCTACTGCCAGAAGCACACACAACGGCAGTGGAGGGAGTGGAAAGGGAGAGGAGAGCCAGCAGGTGAAGGAGAAGACGAAGATGGGGAAGGGAGAGAAAACGGTGAAAGACAAGAAGCAGATCCAGACGTCACCCGTTCCGGTGAGGAAGAACGGACGCGACGAGGAAAAGAGGGAGTCGCGCATCAAGACCTACTCACCTTTCGCCTTCAAGTTCTACATGGAGCAGCACATAGAGAATGTGATGAAGACCTACCAGCAGAAACTCAACCGCAGGCTTCAGCTGGAACAAGAGATGTCCAAGGTGAGGTGACATGTTACCGCACTCCCCGCTCATCAACTGCTTTATGTTTCAATTTCATAGAAACAGACAAGTTTACATTATTAAATGGTGTTTTTCAGCGGACATCAGACATCCATCCAGTCTCTGGTAGTTTATTTTGAAAGAGAGTTAAATCAGTTGCTGTCTTTTATGTTGAAAATCATCTACATTCTTGGTCAGAATTAATGTATGAGCTGTTTGTAGTTAATGGTCTAAAACCTGAACCCACTAGTTAAAGGTCTTGTGTCTGTAAAGGAGTTGAGAATGATAATGAGTTGTATGGAGCAGTGATGTCCGAGAGGTTATTCTCCCTCAGGACTTTGTTTCAGACAACAAAACCCTTGTGTTGGTACGAGGAGTCGGTGCGTTCACACTTGTGTTTGCATGAGCTCGTCTTGAGTCATGACTTTGGCCTCTGCCTCTTTTGACCCACTTTAAAAACGAATGAAAGACATTCTCAGAGGAGAAAAAAAATACCACAGCCAGACCCAGACACTTAAATAACAGAATGAGTTAAATTTGACAACAGAGGTCAGGGCGCCGGGTTGCAGCTCTCGCCGCATTCCTGGGTCATTGCTAATCACAGATGAGAAATTAACTCTCATGCTCGCCCTCTGTCTCCTCTCTCCCTCAGGCCGGTCTGTCGGAAGCGGAGCAGGAACAGATGAGGAAGATGCTGAACCAGAAAGAGTCCAACTACAACAGGCTACGCCGCGCTAAAATGGACAAGTCTATGTTTGTCAAAATCAAGACTTTGGGCATAGGTGCCTTTGGCGAAGTGTGTCTCACGCGTAAAGTGGACACCTGCGCACTGTATGCCATGAAAACACTTCGCAAGAAAGATGTCCTCAACCGCAACCAGGTGAGTTAATACATTTTGAATGAATGTAGTACGCAGTGTCACCTTGTTGAAGATGTCTTGAGTTATGCAAACGAGTTCAAATGAGCACGTTCGTTGGTGCAGGTGGCCCACGTGAAAGCGGAGCGTGACATCCTGGCGGAGGCGGACAACGAGTGGGTGGTGCGCCTCTACTACTCCTTTCAGGACCGCGACAGCCTCTACTTCGTCATGGACTACATCCCCGGAGGAGACATGATGAGCCTGCTCATCCGAATGGGCGTCTTCCCCGAGCCCCTGGCGCGCTTCTACGTGGCGGAGTTGACGCTGGCCATCGAGAGCGTCCACAAGATGGGCTTCATCCACCGCGACATCAAGCCGGACAACATCCTCATCGACCTGGACGGACACATCAAGCTGACAGACTTTGGTCTGTGCACGGGCTTCCGCTGGACGCACAACTCCAAGTACTACCAGAAAGGTGAGGCGGTTTAAGACAATGGTTTAATGCTCCTCTCATGCTACATGGCTGAAATATCTAAACATACACATGCACGTACACACAGGATTTAACTGACTACATGTTATAATTGACTGCAATATACTAATAAAAGGGATATTCACAGATTAACTAGATCCTACTCTCACTACTTTCTAATGGAGAATCACAGTTCATATAAGTCCCATTTCTTTTCTCTGATCCTAAAGCTTGAGCTTCGATTTTGTTGACTTGTTCAGGACAAGCTTATTTGTATTGCACCTTTCAATAACAAAGCAATACAAAGTGCTTATATTGTTATATGAATCTGTGTACCATCTGCACAATTATGGTAAGATAAGGCAAAGTTCACTGAGCGTGCAGGTGCCTTGTCAGACACATTCAGACTTGGCAGCTGCCAGGTGCAGACATTTTTCTTTTGCACGTCAGAAAAGCTGCTAATTGTTCAGAGTGTTCCCATCCAGCTAATCCAGGCAACGTGTCGTCGTGTGTTTTCTGTGTGGATTTCAACAACATAGTTCCTCTTCTTCTGCCTACAGGAAGTCACGTCAGACAGGACAGCATGGAGCCCAGTGACTTCTGGGACGACGTGTCCAACTGTCGCTGTGGCGATCGGCTGATGACACTGGAGCAGCGCGCCAACCGGCAGCACCAGCGCTGCCTGGCTCACTCCTTGGTGGGAACACCGAACTACATTGCACCTGAGGTTCTGCTGCGCAAAGGTGGGGGACAATACCAAGGATAATATTTTTTTTTTTTTATCTGGTTATTTAATCACTACTACTTTGTGAGGAGTCAGTTTCACATGGAGTCATTGTTTTGATGAGCTCATTGATGGAAAGAGAGCACATGTGGCGGCTGGAAAACAACAGCTAAAATGAATCTGAGGCTGAAGAATTCAACATTAACTGATTCATTAACCAAATATAAATTTGTTTTGTCTTTGCATTTGCCTGCTGATACTTTCAAAGTAAAGAAAAACAAGGTTAAAATTCCTTTTATTTCAGATCCTTTGTGACAAAAGTGTCTCTGAGCCAATTATACGTTTTCACTTTAGACATTTAGTTTATTTACATTTATCCTGCACAACGTTAGAACAAGTTTTAATTCTTGGATTATGAAAATTAAACGTTTACCATCATAAGGAATGTGAAATCAAAAATCATATTATTACCTTAGAATTTCTGCATATGCAGTAGAGTAGTTAAATACTTGGACACTGACATGTTTTTTGATGTGTTGGCTCTGTGCTCGGCTTGCTGAATTTGAAATGAAACAACAACTATGATGTTTTTGAGGTTTTGTATTTTGGCTGAACACAGTGGTGGATTGTGCTCCGTGATTGTCTCTCAAGTGAGAGCACTTATAGATTAATCTGATATTCTTGCCTTGTGTGCAGGTTACACCCAGCTGTGTGACTGGTGGAGCGTGGGAGTAATCCTGTTTGAGATGCTGGTGGGACAGCCGCCCTTCCTGGCTCCCACACCCACCGAGACTCAGATTAAGGTCAGTGAAGAAGAAACACCCCCCAACTTAGATTTGGAAATTCAAATCATGTGAAGGAATTGAATATCAGCCACATTATATCTGCCCTCCTGCTGGACTTAAATTCAAACTTGTATGAACAACAAAGGTGGATAAAACTTGATGACAGGTTACCAAAAGTATGTCCAATAAATGAGCCACTACTGAGTCCACATGACCTTTGTTAAAGGGTCAGTTCAGTCGTATCATTAAGTATTGTAGTTGACAAGAACATTTTCGCTCCATAGCTGTTCTGGAGCTTTCGATCGCATCTCGAAGTCTTCCTCAGCAGATGGAGTTTGCCCAGTTGAAAAAACGGTCTTAGAGCAAGATCTATTCAATAGCTGCTCTGAACCTTTCAGGCGTATCACATGACCTTCATCATCAGATACAGTTGTAGCTACATACCATATCTACACTTGCATGACAACTGGGTAACTCCGTCTGTCGAGGAAGATCATCTGATACGTTTGAAAGTTCCAGAACAGCAGCTGATTGGACCTTGTGGTGAGATTGCATGAGTCAACTTGCGTTTCCAGGTTCAAGAAGGAACTTTGAATCTCAGTGTCTCTGTTGCTGTGGTAACCTCACGTATGATGTCCCCCCCCCCCCCCCCCGTCCACAGGTCATTAACTGGGAGAGCACACTGCAGGTGCCCGCCCAGGTCAAACTGAGCCCCGAGTCTGTCGATATCATCGGTCGCCTCTGCTGCTCCGCAGAGGATCGGCTGGGCGCCAACGGTGCCGGCGAGATCAAGGCCCACCCCTTCTTCACCCAGACGGACTTCTCCAGCAATCTACGGCAGCAACCGGCGCCCTACCGGCCCAAGATCGCCCACCCAATGGACACGTCCAACTTTGACCCCGTGGAGGAGGAGGGCGGTCCCGGGGCGTGGAGTGACAGCGGGGACAGCACCCGTGCTTTGGACACGCTCTGTTCCCCGCATGGGAAGCACCCGGAGCACGCCTTCTACGAGTTCACCTTCCGCAGGTTCTTCGACGACAACGGCTGCCCCTTCCGCTACCCTAAACCGCTCGAGGCCAGCGAGGCGCCGCTAAGCATCACCGGAGCCGGCGGCATGGGCCCGGAGGAGGAGGAGGAACAAGAAGAGGAGGAGGAGGAGGAAGAGGATGATGAAGAGGAGGGAGAGCAGGGTGAGCCGGTGTACGTCTAGAGCTGCAGACTGATACTCCTTCCTGAGCAGCGTGCGTCTCGACCCCTCCCACCTACCACGGCTCTTCTTCTCTGTATGTGTCTGTGTGTGTTAATGCATATCTGGCATGTGTGATTGTTAAAGCTGCAGGAGCAGGATTGACGAACATCGCCACCTTGTGGAATCTGTAGTGCGTCCACAGTGACTTCAAACACGAAACTCCCCTGATCCGGGACCAAGAAACAACATTCTAAATGTGACTGACTGCACCAAGGGTGAAGCGTCTGCGTTCAGCAGAGCGAGACTCAGAAACTGTTCAGGTTGAGAGGAGATAGTAAATATCCTTGGGAATGTAAGGATGTCTGGATCTAATGGTTCTAATTCGAGGACTGCTTCTGGTTCCTCCAGCGGTTTCTTGTCCCATTCCTTCCACCCTTGGTCTTACGGACGACTGAAACACCTCGACGGTGATTGTGTGACACAGGAGCGACTTCCTGTTCTACCTGAGCTGCTCTACACTCAAATATTGGACACGGCAATGTGAAGAGTGGAACCAGTTTACTCATTGATCGCACGGGGGGTAGGGGTGGGGTAGGGGTCGGGGTAAGGGGGGGCTAGCAACACGCCTCTTTCCACAGCTGCTGCAAAAATAAGCTACAAAGACACTATGCATGAACATGCACACACACACACACACACACACACACACACTTATTCAGTATAGCTTGTGCTTGGTTACAAAGGGTGAAATAGGTGTGGGTCTCTCACAGGTAGATTTCAGTGTCTCAGAGCAGACGGACGAACAAATTCTCACAGAGAAATAGTTGTTTTCGGTGTGAGACAAAACGTGTCCCTTTTGGCAGCATCCAGTTTTCAAAATTTCTATATTTCTAATTTCTGCAACAGATCAAATTAAAAATTAGAAATGTATCTTCTCCATCCACAGCTGCCTCATTTTGTGCCAACTCGAGTTCGGTGTAATGTTTTGTCCTTTAGACGGAGCCCGATACTCCTTCACTCCTCGGAGGTTACAAATATCCTTGTCTTTATGAAATGCTTCCTGTTACTGATCCTGTATCCTGACTGACCATTTCAAAAGCCACCTCCAACAAAATCCTTAACCTGCACAGGCGCGCGGATCATGTGTGTGTGAGTTTGGTTTGAGCTGATTTTGTTTTAGTTCGATCCAAGACTGAACCACTTATTAAAACCAGGAACTTTCACTATAAGCCTCACATGCAGTGAATTTCTGCTCGTAAATTACAAGAAAAGTTGGATCAGATGAAAAATATTGTTGTTAAAATGATACTTATTGTTTTTTTGTTGTTTTTTTTTGGGGGGGGGGCACAACACATAGTTTCTCATGCTTTGTTTTAGGGAAAGAACTGATGAATATAATAACAGAAACAGGCCTGAGCCCGTCAGGTCGGGTGGGGGCTGAGCTGTTTTCTGACTGAAAATCAAAGCTCTAGCACACACACACACATGCGCACACACACACGCATGCACACACTCATTTAATTTTTTTTTTTTTTTAAGATCAGTCCCACAGTTCCCACAGTTTAACTTAACCAGCCTCCTCTGTCCTCTGGAGGCAATCACGAAAACAAACACAAAGCAACATGTTCTTACAACAGCCAAACATGTGATAGTATGACTATGTGCAATACAAAAAAATGACATTATATATAGTTTTCTAAACACTTAATATCCTTTTTGAACGTTTAGTACTGAAATGTACAAATATATTGGTTTATATATATATTTTCTTTTTCAGTTACATCATGCTGCTTATTGTGGTTAATATTATTTACATTATTATTATAATTGTTATTACATGTGTACCTGTTTTCTTTTAAAGAAGTGTTGGCTTCGTTGCCAAGTGTGCCTGAGTTTTGAAAGTAATGAGCTATGTGCCTTTCTAATTGAGTGTTGGGGTGTGCGTCGCCGCTCGATGACGAAGGCGACGTCAGTGGTGATGATGATGATGATGATGATGATCAGTGTTTGCAGAACATTGTTGGTAGACTCTTCACCTCCTGCAGCCGGGCTGGTCCTGAACGCAGGAGGGGAGGGTGTAGAGGTTTCTGGTTTCAGAGAGAGATGGAACAGAGTAGATCAAAGTGAGAGGAAGAGGAGGAGTGAGGCAGGTGGGCTTCAGGAAATGTAATTGGAAAATAAGAATGAATAGCTTTCTCTGTTTTACAAACAAACGGTTAAACTTCAACAAAGAGTTAGTGTTTGGTACATTTTCTTTATTTATCCGAAATGACCACAAGTTTGAGTGTTGTTTAACTCTGTACTTTTATTACAGACCTGTGCCATGTTCTGTGTTGGTGACACTTATCATCCAGTACCTTCATGCTTATTGACAATCAGTAAACGGTAACCGCTCTCTTTGAACTGAGCTGTTTGGTTGATAATTAATACCCAACTGTTCCAACAGTATTGTGAAGTTGACTTAATGACTGGGAATGCTGAAGAAGTCAGAACTTTTTAAAGTGATTCTCTGATGCATAACTGGCAGAGTGGTGAAAAAATGTGTGGATAAGATTTGTTACAGAATTTTTTTTTTTTTTTTTTTTTTTAATATTATTATTATTATTATTTTGCTTGACAATGTATTGAAAGTTTTTTTTTCTGTAAATGTGCCTTGTGTTCTACAATGAGCAGCACAATCTTAAAAGATGACCTTCTTCTTATCATCTCTTCTTCACAGACCTCTTTTTATCTGTTATTACTCTCGATGTGGGGAAACTGACAGAGCACGCTCTGTTTCACATTCATACTGGCTTTGTTTGCACGCACCGACATTATTGTTCTTATTCTAGCCGGTAACTGACAGTAAGTAGAATTAGATAAGGCAGAGTTTTAGGGAAAGTGTGTGGGACAATAAATTACAACTCCTGCAATCACAGACAGATGAAATGTTGAAATTGAATGTGGCTTTTTCTCTTCAAAGACGCCATATTTCTGTAACTCTGTGTATTTCTGGTTGCAATGTATTGTTTTAGGAAAGGGAAACAGGGGTTTCACCGCTGTACAATGTTGCAACTGGTTTAATTTGGAGTGGGTTGTTCAAAAATTTAATTTCATATCACAGATTTGTTGCATAAATACACAAAAAAAACCTCAGTGCAATCACAATTTAAAGAAATATTTTTTTTGCTCTTTGTCGTGAACATGTTTGGTTGTGGCTTAAACTACACTAAAGCCAGTATCCTGTATGTAAACACAGCCAGTGCTGCCTGTGAGCTGCCTATGGTCTTCTGCAGAGCAGCACCACAGGGTCCATCATGGATGAGGTGCCCTGCTCAGGGGCACCGTCATTGCTTTTAGTAAAGCAGACAGGCGTTGCTCTTTCACTCTTCCCCATCCAGTTTTTCTGTCAGCCGGTCCAGACGTCTACCCAGGCGTCCTTCCACTTCTCTAAACCTCACATTGACTGCGTTGTCAATCCACATCGACCAGGACGGAGTGCTGCATGACAAATAGCTTTATAACGAGAGCTGCGACTCTCTGCAGAGTGTGTGAGTGCCACAGAGTGTGTGAGGTTTTGTTTTTGTTTTCTGTTTCCAAGGTTAGACAATGATGACCGACAATCTTTGACTGACTTGATCTGATTTCTTCACAAGACTTCCTTGTGTATCCTTTTCATTTTGTATTTTTACTCTAAGGAGCCTCCGCTCGTCTTCGATGCTTCTTAATGTATGATACAATTCTGTTACTCTTGAATTTATATTTATACAGATATACATATTTTTTGTATCTTTTTTTCCCCTTTTTTCAATTTCCCTTGTGCTAATGTTCAAACCCCCTTGTCTACACAGTATTATAGATGATGTAATGTGGACAGCCATCTCTTTTTTTACATTTATGTATGAACTGAGAATTTGTAAAAATCCTTTACAATCCTTGTGTGTAAAATGTATGTATAAATTAAATTAACCAACTTGGACTTGTGCTTTATTTCATCACATTTAATGTGTGAACAGAAGGTGACACAAAAGCTTTGTTATCATTTTTAAATGTTATTTTAGGCCTGTGATAGTTTGGGAGTTAGATCACATATTGAATTTGATTTTTAATCTAATAAAATTGGGATCATGGGCAGCAATCAGTTGTATACCATGTAAATTAAATATACAAGGAAGGATTACAATTCTGTTGACTGTCATCCTTGCATAATAATTTATACCAATACTTATTAGTTCAAAGAATTTGTGCTTTTCTTGATGGAAACATGAATTCAAAAGTTAGTAAATCTTGAATTTCAACTTCACAAAAAACGTATCTGAAGAACACTGAGCAAACCACAATATGATTTATAAATTATCAACATTTTACTGCTGCAGTTGGCTGAAGAGTTATAATTCTTTTAACTAGACTATTATATAATTGGGTCGTTTATTCAAATGCATCATATTTGCATGAACTGTTGCATGTAAAATCTTAACCTGCAGTCAAATACTGACAAGGAAAATAAGAATAAAAAAATGTTATAATAACCTTTAAAGGAAATACAAGAATTTCAATATTATACTTATAATAAATGGATAGTTACTTTTCACTACTGCTCTGTAGTTTGTTTTATTCTTTTGTACTTCTCTGACATAAACATTAATGCATGAATTATGAGAAAATGGACCCCTGGGCAAAGACAGGCCACTCCAGCATAGAACCACAAAACAACTTAAACTGACACTTTCTCTTCATAGTCGTTCTTTGTCTTTGTAGTCGTCTCCTGTTTATAATTTTTGTTCCTGTGGTCATTGTGCATCGTTTTGAGTCTCTTTGTGGTTCTTTTGTGTCAGTTTAGTAGTAGTAATTTCTGAGTCTCTGTGGTAGTTTTTTTGGGGGGGCTGTTCTGTCTCTCAGTACTCATTTGGTGTCTCTGTGGTCGTTTTCTCTCTCTTTGTGATTATTATCTGTGTGGTCATTCTGTGCGTTGGTTTTGACAGAGCACTATAACTTTCAAACAAAAACAATAACAAAAACAATTCATACATAATATGTTTTTCAAATTTACAGGCAAAAACCTCTTGCACAGTTACAGTTAAACGCTCAAACAGACAGGGTTACATTGGTTTCTAAAGTTTTTCCTTTAATAGTTTCATGTTTAGCTAAAGCTATGTAGCACTGGAAACCCCGCGCGGCGGTTGCAATACCAGTCGCCTCCGTTTGCGCGCGCGCGCTGAGGATGACGGTTTCAACCGGTTTCAACCCTGCCGGGTACCATCGCTGTAATCCCACAATGCAGAGCGCATGGCGCGTCATTGGAGAGGGACGATGATGGCGGCGGTCGGTGCATCAGAAGTGATCACACAGCTGGAAAGCGCTGCCAAAGTTTTAATGGTGAGAAATTCAGCGTTACTTTAAAGCCTCTGTGGAGAAAGTACATGTGTCTTAACTTTGTCTCGGGTGGAGTTTGGCGGTTGGTGACTCCCGCTGCTGTTTGTTTCTTCTCGGATTTTGTTGTTAAATGTGTTCAGCTTCTTTTTTTTTTAAACCGGAGAAACGATGCGTGGCGCAAAAAAAAAAATCCCGCAAAAATCTGCTCTTAATCGTAACATTTCCCCCTCTTTCTTCGTTTACCCTTTTCCTCTCATAGACCACCTCCACCCTAAAATATTACCCCACGTTTGGACACTTTCCAATGTGGCTCAGGTTTCCAGAAACTTCGCCCTTTTCAGCTGTTAACGTTACATCAAGTTGTACTGTACTCCATACATACAGTTGGACCATCTCGAGCTTTAGCTTTAGCTCATCCTCTCTACCTCCCTAAAAAACACACGTTTCCATCAAGTGTTTGCCCCCCCCCTCCCCTCTCCCTCCTTCTTCCTCCACCCCTGTGCACCCTCCAGTCTCCATTGGAACAAATGAACACACCAGCTAGGAGCAAGTGGCTAACCATGTGCATGTCATGACTGGGTCCGTGTGTGTTGGATGTGTTAGCTAGCTAGAGCCTGGTTTTGCTTCTCTGCCATTTTGCTTTTACCATTTATTGGCTTTAAATCCAAACGCATCTTGTTGCTCTGCTTCAACGTGATACTGACTGAGACATGTGCCTGTTTTGGAGGGGTAGTTGCTTCATGTGAACACCAGCAGCCATAAAGGAGCTTTACCTCCACATGTTAGTCAGCAGGTGTCTTATGAATTTCTTGTTTTATCTACAATGACTTCATAGCTGTACATCTTAGTGTCTAGATTAACCAGGGTGTTTGGTACAGAGCTCTTCATGTGATATAAAATCAGTCAGTTGAATAGGACAATACTGTGGTTGTCAGTATGACATATCTGTTGATTTTATTATATGATGATGTAGTTTTGATTTCTTATCAATGGTGCTGCTGAGAGGCCACATGAAAGAGCTCCGGCTAAGCTCTGTTGTTTCATTATGAATCTAAACCTTAGATGTTGCACTCTTACTCTTTTTTTCTTTTTCTGTATTACGTTTTTGGCCTTTATCAGACAGTTGATAGTATGTAGACAGACAGAAAATGAGTGGAGAAAGAGGGGGGATAACTTGCAACATAGGGTCCTGGCTGCAATCAGACCACAGACACAGAATATTTTATATTATATACGTCTTTGCAACTTGGTCACAAAGACACACCAGAAATTTGAATTTTAATCAGTGGTCACCTGTGAGAAATTTGAGTTTTGTGACTGGGAAATGCTTTAAAGTCTTTACTCCATGCTGATGAGGCTGCTGAACTGAATGGCTAGCAGGTGGTGTGTTACAGTAGCCGGTCATAGAGAGCTCCTAATCCGACACCAAATCCACACACACAATAATTGTGCATGCGCGCACAAAACAACACATGAAAGCAGCTCACGAGCCATGATAAATAACAAACACCCTGCACATGTTTAGATCAGTCTGAGTTGCACATTTAAGATTACCAATTGCAGAACATGAGATTTGAATTCATGTATTTCTTATATCATTCATTGCAGAGTTAGAAATGCTAGTGATTATTTTTCTGTTATTTTTTTTATTATTATTCTGTCATCAAAATGTCTCAGATTTAAAACTCTCACAGGTTGTTCTTTTACTTTTTTTCTTTTGTTTAATATATTATATAATATATATATATATTATATATATATAATATATATTTTTTTTGTTTTTTTTTGCCATTTTTGCCTTCATCAGACTGATGGTATAGAGACGGACAGGAAATGAGGGGAAAAAGAGGAGGATGGTTTGCAACAAAGGGTTCCAGCTAGAATCGGTCGATGGATGCTGCGGCTATATTTTATGCGTCTTTACCACTCGGCTGCTAGACCCCAGAAAGTTGAATATTAATCAATACATTGAAAGTGCAAATGTCAGCACATTGTCAGGAACATAACCTTTAAATTTTGCTCTACAGACATACTCAAATTGTGAATTGAACTGTTACATGCCTATAATTAAGTCAGATTTCTCTTAAAATAGTCTTTTCAAGTTCCAGTTTGACTTTCATGTTTTTTTTTCCACAGTTCATTGTGCGAACATGCTAACAGCAAACCTATATACGATTTCCCATACATTCTAACCCTGTTAGATACGACAATAACTCCCTGTTTAGCACAGTTTAATCTGTAGATTTCACATTAATGGATGTAATTCAGAGCTGGACAGTCTGTCGATGTTTATCAGTGATTGTCTGGCATTGTGAACCATGTGCTCTGTGTAAACTTTTGTCACTTAAAGGCTGTGCAAACAAGCTACACACCACATTTATTTACTATAATGTAATAAGACTTGCTTTTATTAAAATTGTGTTAACAAGCAATTCATTTACACACCAATCAGACACAGAACACTCAGTTCTGGAGTTGTGTTTTTGGCCACTTGCTGAATGTCACTCTCTGTTTTTAGCTCTGTTTTGGTCTCAACAAAGTCTTGAAGGAAATACCTGGCTCCTGAGCTGCTAAATGATCCACTATGTTCATCAGCTAGTCGCTAACATTGTGTGGTTGTTTTTTATGGTGCTGGACAAATGGTCTAGAGTGGGTTTAACATACTGTTATTGCTGAAAACGGCTGCCTGCTGTGACTGAGAATGACAGTGATGAGAGGGATGAGACTGAACCAAAACAGTAAAACTGTGGACTGAAAAATCAGAACAATGAGCTGAAAGTCAGAAGCTTCAGAGTCAGAAAATAATCCTACATCAGTTCGTTGTTTCAACACTTTTCACATCACACACAGTAATTCTTTCCACTGTTCCATCAGCGCAGCTTTAACATGTCTTGTCATCAAGGTAAATATTGCATATCAGTTTATATATTTATATATATATATAGATCATATTAGAATCCTTATTTTTGGTATAAGTCTTGGTGTGTTGTGTGTCTGCCACTTCATCATAGTGTGTGTGTGTGTGTGTGTGTGTGTGTGTGTGTCTGTGTGTCTGTGCGTGTGTGTGTCTGTGCGTGTGTGTGTGTGTGCACTCTCAGATAAAAGGGTCTTTCTTTCCTCTGCTGCCTTCAGCCGCAGAGTTGCTTTTGCAATCAAGCCTGGAATGTGACTTTCCTGCCGAGCTGTATCATGGCGACACTCCTCAATAAACGTGTGTGTGTTTGTTTTTAATCATAGAACATTTGGAGCCTTGATGACTTTTTAATTATTATGGAGGGTTATCTGTTATTGGCTCTCCTGTTTGTACTTTGTTTGTAAAGTATGACTACAATATTAGTATCATGGTGTGTCATGATAATAGTCCTTTATGGTATTGGTTTATAATGAACTCTTTGCTCTAACTGACTTAATGATTACTGCGCACTGTGAGCCACCAATGGAAACAGAGCAGGGTCCCCACCTGTGGCTACTCCTTCTCTCGCACCCAGAAAATTAAGTCTCATTTTAAATGACAAATTTTGTTTGTTTTTTACAGGCACCGCCGTCCATGGTCAGCACAGAACAGAGGCAGCATGCTGAACACGTATTTCTCTCCTTCAGGAAGTCCAAATCCCCTTTTGCCATCTGCAAGCACATCCTAGGTAACTATTGACTTAATCGATGAACCTGCATCACTTATTTTGAACTTACATGTTTTTGTATTTTATAAACATTTACTTACCCAAGAAAGACTGTCTGAACAAACATGCTGTTTTTTTGTACAGAGCAGTAGAGTTGGTCCTTATGGGTAATGGTCGAGGGCAACGCTGCAGTTGTTGTTTAAAGGGAGAAAAGGGTTTTAATTTCACTTTCATTCAAGTGTGTCCATCCAATCTGGGCTTCAGCCACTGATGTTACGATCACAAATCTTCTGCTGTGAAACCTTTTTAATGTCCTGCACCCCCACAGGCATAATATACTTCCTATTTGATCTGAAGGGAGTTTAGGTTTCTGTCTGTGTAGTTGGCAATAAAGAGCAAAGTGGAAAATCCTCACATTGGAGAAGCTGGAACAATCAAATGTTTGAATGTTTAAAAATGGGCATAACTGATTCATTGATTATCATAGTCATTTCAGTTCTGCAATGAACACCTCTCTAAAACAGTTCAAACAAAAACTGAATATTATAACCTTCATGAAGGGAGCATTCACCACAGGACTGGTGTATAAGACTGCATTGGTTTTAGCAAAGTGTCCCTAATAAACTGACAATTGAGTGTATGTTACTTTCATGTAATGAAATGTGCTACATAAATAAATTGCCTTGTCTTATTCCGACCATTAAAACCATATAAAATCCTTCACAGGGTTGTGTTACTCACATTTGGTCCTTATCAGATTTAAGCTGAATTCAGTTAATACTCTTCATCTATAGCGTAACTCTGAGGTGCAGCTTTTTGCTTTATGTTTTGATTGCGAGCATCAGTCGGAAAGATCACAGAACAGCAGATTTTGTTACAACTAATACCTCAAGAAATAGAGCTTTTAAATTGCTAAACTTTTTCACAAGGTAACCTATCACAAATCAAAACATTTGTCAATTAATCGATTGGATTGGACTGATTGCTGGAAAATTAAACTGCTTTTGATAATTGATTTATCATCATTTTTCAAGCAAAAATCCTGATAAATCTCTGGTTCCGGCTCCTCAAATTTGAGAATTTGATGCTTTCCTTTGACTGACATGACGGTGAACTAAATATCTGTTGGTCAGACAAAACAAGTCAATTGATATTAATATTTTTATGTTAACTAGAACAACACTTGTTTAA